TCTGCTACAGGGTTCTAGGAATTATAAATAAACTGCACAATCTAAAGATGCAATACCAATATCCATTCAATACATCCATACACAGGCAGAGGTATCCACTTTAATGTATACATATCAAGATAATGCCATTAACAATATTACCTGTCATGAATGCATACCCATAAAGCAATCTGGGTCAGAGGGCCTATAATTCTGGGTCTATAATTTTCTTACAGACTAATTAATACACACTGATTTGGGTTATTTTCACCAAAGAAATGTAGCAGAATACATTTTGGCCTAAATTTATGAAGAAATTATTTATTTGTAAAATTTTATAACAGAAACATAGAAAAACTTTTTTTTTTACAGTAGTGAGTAATGGTAATTCAATGAAGATAACAGTCTATGGTAAATGCTCAAAGATCTCTTGGTACTGAGATGTAAAGGTGTCTGCATGCAGAGTCTTTAGTGATGTCAAAAAGAGGTTGAGCATCCGTCCGGTCACCAATCCCATGGATAGCACAGCCTCCTCTTGCACAGGCACTTTGCACTTTTCTGCGAAGAGCCGATTTAACGCCTGGCAGCTTGTCAGCAATGACTGGCTGAAGACTGGATCGTGACAGTCCCAATGCAAAGAAGCTGATGCAATCCCAGCGTCACATTTGTGCTGAACTGGTATGCAGATTCCCATAGTAGTAGCCAGCAATCTGTCTCTGGAAGAAAATGACTGTCCCCCTGTGTTCAGCTCTGAATCCTGCACCCCAGAACGCAAGCCAGTTCCTTGCTGTAGAATATATCTACTCTCCCAACCACCTCCTGGTTCCCCAGCTCTCTGGTCTGTAATTCAATCAGCACTCAGAAATAGAGTATGAATTGGCGATAGGACTACAGGTCTCAGCATCTTCTGCTGTCATAAGAACTAGATGCACTCTGCTAACAGGTAGTGATGTAGCAGTCCAAGTACTGGGCACTAGTGGGAAAACAGGATTAACTATAGTCTCATCTGTAAATGTCCCTGAATGGCATAATGATATAGCCAGCACCTAGCTACATTCTTCCCCTCACTTTAAATCTTTGGTCCCCAAAGAGGTAGTGGGAACCCACTGTAATACTAATTATATAATATTAAATACTTTTGAGCATTAACTGTAATCGAGAAATCAACCGTAGCTCATATTCACAAGTAATATACAAACATTAGAGTTAGGCCCCTTTCACATGGGCGTTCCGTTTGTCTGTTTTTCATCCATCCATTAATGGATGAAAAACAGACATCGATAATTCTCTATGGAAAATGGATGTAAATGATCATCCGTTTGCATCCACATCCATCAACATTCATTTTATGGAACGGATTAAAGCCCTATTGTTTTGTAAAAAAAAAGCCGAACGGACAAAAAAATGGGTATAAATGGACAATGGTCCTTTTTTGCAGCTGTGTTTACATTGGTCGTGGATGTAAAAAAAATTATGTAACAAGTAATGAAAGACTGATCTTTTTTTTTTTTTTTTTTTTATTTTTTTAACTGTGACTGAACTGATGATAAAAAAAAAAAAATGGAGCACCCGTGTGAGAGGGGCCTCAATATGTAACCATTTGCATAACTCATCAGTTAGAGTGAGATTACTTTGTTGACAAGCCAGTATGATGGCAGGCGAGCATAGGTTCATCAGAGTTTTTTTCCCAGTGTATCATATGTCAGTCTCTTGGCTGGGTTACTGTTCTATCGTAGTCTGGAATTTATAGTCTTCAGGCGTGGGTTCAGTTGATCCATGGAGGTTCCAAAAGTTAGGTTGACCGACAGTCATGCTTCTCTCCCAAACATTAATCTGTAGGGGGAATACCCCATGGCCTCATTAGAGTGCATATTCAACAGAGTGCCGTTGAACCATTCAACTTCATCTCTATTCAGGAGAAACTTCTCCCATATTTATGTAACCCTGATGTGTTTCAACTCATACTTTGAATCTTCTTCAGGGAAAACAAGAAAATACAGCAGAAGCTTCTATAAAGAAAAATAATGTTGATGTATATGAACATATAAATACATTTATCTTCGCATAATAATTCATTTATATCAGATATGCAATATGGACTTGCATAACAATTTGTCATTTAAAAACAATTCCTTTGAAGACAATACTCTGGAAAATTATTTGAATGCACTATAAGCATGAGTGACAGTAGCACTCTACTTCTGCCCTCAAAACAGCAAGTAGAAGTGATCTCTAACCAATACCTTGTTCTAATTTCCCATGTTCATCATGAAGAGCAATTAGTACAGCTTGTCTGTTACTCTGGAAGGATACAACTTCCACTTTTTTTCCCCAAATCATCTGAAGGACACCTCCGATAGATGATGATCTCTCATATCTGCAGCTGGCCCCATTCTTTGTAGACTAACTTGGTGTTCTTGTTTGGTCAGAGCTTTCAAGGCTAAACTGCAGAGCGGTTCCTCACTCTGATCTACCTTCAAGTCTCTTTTTGACAACTGTGGGAGTCCCTCACTTCTCACTTGAGACAGGTCCCAGTAGCACTTGGGCACTCCCACTGGGGTGACTTCAATGGCCTCAGCTCCAACAGCTCTGTTGTGCTGATGATCAATGCCTTGGCACAAAGCCAGGACTCCCTCAGACATCACATGAGTCCAGATCTCTGAACCTGTGTCCAGATTAGGTAGTCTTTGGGATAAAGCATCAGCATCTCCCTACTTACAGTCGATATTTCAAGCTAAATTGAAATCTCGTCAAGGCAGCTGGCCAAATATGTTCAGTAGCGTCTAGCTTGGCTGTTGTCAGAAGATAAGTTAGGGGATTATTGTCTGTCTTGACTTCAAAGGAGACCACATATAGATATTCCTTCAGTTTGTAGACAATGGCCCGCAGCAAAGAACTCAAACTTATAAATTGGATAGCTTTTTTCAGATGAAATGAGACATCAGCTTACGTAAGCTATGGGACGTAACCAGGGCCATGGATAAGGGGGTACCACCAGTCCTCCTGTACGGGGCCTAGGCCAGCAGAAGAGCTCAGGCAGCTGAGTGAATCAGATGTGGGCAGAGAGGGTGATCAGTGTGGTGGAGGGGGCAATTACTGTAACTGCCCCCCCCAATTACTGTAACTGCCCCCTATTGCACCCGTCACCTTTCTGTCCACCATGCATTTCCCCCCTGCTGCCCAGACCCCCCTGTGTGCCCCCACCCTCACAGTGCTGCCGGCTTCCCTCCTCTCCTTTCTCCTTTCCAATGGCAGCTGCAAGCACATGATAAGATCCTTTAGGATGGTGAGTGGGGGAAGGGTCCAGGAAATATGCCATGTTTTCCAGCCCCTTCCTTTCCTGAATGAACACAATGAGTGATCAGTACCGATCACTCACTGTTCATTCATAACTGAAGCATAGTAAACTGATTTTTTTGGGAGGGGGGCATTGTCAGGTTGGCTGTATGGTGCCCCCCAGTTTCTAACAGCAGCCCTGGATGTAAACTCATATACAGGCAAGCTCAAGAATGAGCAAGCTCAGAGTGGGATTTACAGAAAGTTATATAGGACCTGAAGCACCTGTGACCAATTAACCCCTCCCCTTAATCAGCAGACTGAAGGAAGGAAAGGAAAGGAAAAAAACAGCTATTTAAAAAGTGACATAAAAAGTAAAGGCTGCTAACAAGACCCCAAAGAAGAAAATAAAACAACCACAAGCACCAGCAATCACCAGCAGACAAAAGGAAAACTGTTTTTCACTCTCCACTCAAATTTCCCACTTTTTTATCTTTCAGACAGCAAAATGTGCCAGATGTTTTCAAGTTTTAGTTTTCAAGCACTGCAGTTCTAATGTCAACTTTTTTAGGAGTTTATATGTCAATCTTTCTGTAAACTCATATATTTGTATTGTTTTATAAGTGTTATAGCGCATTCTTTGTGTTTGTTATCTTGTTTCAACCTGGTTATGAAACTATGACAGTTAATGATTATTTGTGATTGATGTTAACAGCATGGCGAAACAAGATTCAATAGAGCCAAATTAATGAATGTTGGCTTTTCAGAAGCAATAAAGGAATATGATTATAATTGCTTCATATTCAGTGACGTTGACATCATTCCAATGGATCGGAGGAATCTTTACAGGTGCTCTGAAAACCCCAGACATTTAGCACATGCTTTGGACAAGTTTAATTTCAGGTAATTACTTTAAATTCAGTCTTTTTATCTGAATGAAAAACAAATGATAATTATTTATTTTAGCTCTTTCACCTTGCTAGTATGTTTTCTAGTAATATTTTCTAGCAGATTGCCTGTAATCTAAATAAAACATTGATAAACGGTTACAGTAGCTTACTGTCTTATCACTATATAAATGTTATCAGGAAATAACAAAGAATTATGTAGTAAACCTGTTCTTTCACCATGAAGGGCCAACCCTACTCAGCAGCATATACTTACCTTCCTTTCGTTTCCCCACCATACTGTTCAGCTGCCTGGAGTGAAAAAAAGTCTCTGTAAATTTTGTATAAGCAACAAGTCCTAGATTACACAGGTCTGTGGACTCCCCATGTGACAATAGAGATTTGCCCAGCATTGTCACGTGAGTTCTCCATACCTGGAAATACTGGGCATTTCCTTTGGCTTCCAGTGTTTAAGGGAAAAGCTGTGGAGTGATGAAAAGGTGAGTAATAAGGAAAGTACACCAACGAAAATTGATTATTTCAAAAAGGTATAACTGGCCAAAAATAGATCTTTAACCACTTGCCGTCTGTATATAAACGGCCGGACAGTGGCAGTCCAGGGGCGGGTTGCAGTTTATAAACGGCGCCCGCCATTTTGGACTGTGCGTGCTCCCTGGGAGCGCGCAGCACCGCAATCCAGTGCCTGCTGTTTCCTCTGGACACAGTGGAACACTGATCGTCGTACAGGGACCTCTCTGCAAGGTCCTGTTCATGTGATCACTGATTGGCCAATCAGTGATCACATGCAGAGTAGTAAGTAAGATGTCATTTCTGACATCATTGTTTACTACGTGTGAAATCCGTGAATGATCACAGAGGTCACATGGAACAAGGCTATTCACAACAGCCTTGTACCATGTGACAAGCTGTGACCAATCACAGCTCACACAGTAGTTCTCAATGGCTGCAAGAATGCAGCCAGAAAGAAGGAGAAATGATCGCTTTTACAGTCTTTATGGGTGTAAAAGCAATCAGTGTAAAAAAAAAAAAATCATCACCCCCCACAAGTAGTACAGTGTCACCATTGGTGACACTGTACTGCTAGGGTGATGGTATGTAGAAAAAAAAAAACAAAACATAAATAATTATATAAAAAATTTTTAAAAAAATTTAAACTAATTTGGGTTATTTTTATTTACTAAAAAGATAACTGAATAAATTTTGTCCAAGATTTATGATGAAATATTATTTATTTGCAAAATTTTATAAGAAAAACACTTTTTTTCAAAATTTTTTCATTTATATAGCAAAAAAAATCCCAGTGCTGAATAAATACCACCAAAATAAAGCTTTATCTGTCTCAAAAAATTAATATAGGTACAGTGTTGCATGACGGCGCAATTGTCATTCAAAGTGTGATAGCGCTGAAAGCTGAAAATTGGCCTGGACAGGAAGCGGGTAAAAGTGTCCAGACCTGAAGTGGTTAAAACACTGCCTACAGAGCAAAAACATTAATAGATGTAATGGGATACTTTGGAAGATGTCAGCAAGTCCTTGGCCTCAAAACCTGGAAATGTTCCATTAAGCAAAAAGGACTTATTGTAGGCATTCTGCATGACCAGTGTCTGGCTTTGAAAACTCCTCCATGCAAATTCCTTGAGTTTAAGGATTTTATGGGTATCTCTGCTTGGAGTGTGCATGAAAATCATGGCTATAACTAGGTCAATCCATGACCCTCCATTTCTTCTTTTTGAGCCATTATCTGGTGGATTTACAAGTTTGCTTCAGATTATCATGTTCAACCTAAATAGCAACCTAAATAGCAACCTCAGATTCTCATCAAGCACACTTTGAAAACATGCAGAATCCATAGCTGATTCAAAGACTGCAACGACCAACTGCTGGTGAGCGTTGTGCAAAATTCACACAAATACCATATCACACAAACACTATATAAAATAAGTTTCTAAATCCACATATGTTGTTTCTATCCTTTTAGCCCATATAAAGGAAGTGCAGCTGAGCCTCCAAAACTTGGGTTTTTTTGTGCAGTTTTAACAGTGAAATAAACTCATATTTGGAATTTAACATCATGGTGTGGCCCCTCATTCCTAGGTCTCAAAGACCTAATTCCATTCCAAGCCCGAAGGTGACTGTGGTGTGGAGGAGCTGTCAGAAAGAAAAAAAACTTTTGTAAAAAAATGTGTTTTTCTTTGTTTCTGTTATGAAATTTTGCAAATAAATAACCTTTCTTCATAAATTTAGGTTAAATGTATTCTGCTACATTTCTTTGGTGAAAATACCTCAAATTAGTGTATATTATTTAGTCTGTAGGAAAGTTTGAATCAATCAATCCTGATGTAGTAACAGACAAATAACTCCCAAATGACCAATATTTGGAAAATAGACAGTCCAAGGTATTCAGTAAGAGGTATGGCAAGTTTTTTATATTGCAATTTTTTGTTACAATTTTTTGGAAAATGAAGAAATTAAAAAAAATAAAATCACTTTTTTTTTTTTTATATATTGTCACCAGTCCAGTACAGCATTATCATATAACTGGTGTGGTGATCAGAGGCACTGACTGGTGACTGTATTTAAATTTTTTCTTTTTTATAAAATGTTTGTCTTTTCTTTTACTATTTTGCAACACATTGTGACCAGAGCAATACAACATTACCATAGTAACATTGTACTACTGTGGGCAAGTGATCAGGATTTTTTTTTACACATTATGATTGCTAATACCAATTTATTTCATTGATATTCGCAACCATTTTTTTTTAATTAAACTGATTCATTCAGTCTTTTGTTGTGATTAGCTGTGATTGGGCAAAGCTCATCGCATGATACAGATGGGCTGTGATTGGCCCTGTCTGTACCATGTGACCACTGTGACCAATCACAGCTAACAACACAAATGTATACAATGGATGGCATGAAAGGAAACCATCCATTGTATACAGTAGTCATGTGATCTGCTGTAATTGGTCACAGTGGTCACATGACACTGGCAGCAGGCCGGTGTAGTGATCAATCATCGGCTGTATCCCTTGTCCCGGTGTGAGCGGCACCTTCTGATAGGTCGTCATATGACATCCACTCAGAAGGAGGAGTGTCCCGCCTGGCTGTCAATCTGCTATAGGTTGGGCAGGAAGGTGTCAAGGAGTCTTCCAGGGATCCAGTGCCATTTATCCACAATCCTAGCCAGATGTAAACAAAGCAGCCAGGCTTGTCAGAGAGCCATCTAGATACATTCTGTCAAAGTCCAGTGACAGAAATAGGATTATTGCTGAGTAGCAACAAACGTTTGGATCTATATACAACCTTAACACTTTGTGCAAGCCAGACTGACCATTCGAGCACTCGGGCACTGCCCGAGGGCCCGGAGTCAGAAGGAGGCCCCATAAAATGCCCCTGGTACCTGTTTTTTAGGCTTTTTTGAGTGTGGGCAAGGACACAGGGGCCCCATGATCCCCTATTGCCCGGGGCCCCATGAGTTGTCAGTCCGCCCCTGGTGCAAGCCCAGCATATAATATCATGAGAAAAGTTTAAAATAGGATTTATAGTAAAGATATGCTCTGTACATGATGTTAGACTGCAGCTGTCACTTAAAAGAACTATTTTTTATTTTTTAATTAAAGTGGTTGTAAACCTCAGACACAAAATATGAACAAAGCATATACCTCTATAGTGTATACTTGTCAATTAGGAGTACTAAATGTCAGTTCTGTCTGCTGCTTTGTTCCTCTATTATCGTCATTAGAGATGAGCGAATCGAACATGGCGAAGTGGAATTCGTTTCGAATATTGGGAAATATTCGATTCGCGCCGAATCTGAAAATTAGCCAACTTCGGATGCACGAATCGAATTTTCCCAATGAAAAATAGCGGCGACATGTGTGGCGACAGAGCGGGAATCTCTGGGAAGGCGCGCAGACAAGGCGCGCTGACCCATAATGCATTCATTCATGACATGTGATTGCATTAGCCAATCAGCAGCCAGCCAGTCAGCACTGTGTAATGGTGGAGCTATAAATTGCGGCCATCTTACAATTCTCCATTAGCCTCCGGTCATTCAAGATTGTCTGTATTAGGGACAGAGTTAGGGGCCAGAGAGACTTTAGGGCCACAGAATCGTTACTTAGGGACACAGAATCGTTACTCAGGGACAACAGAATCGTTACTCAGGGACACAGAATTGTTACTACAGGGACACAGAATTGTTACTCAGGGACACAGAATTGTTGAATTTTTACTGAGGGACACAGAAATTGTTACTGAATTGTTACTCAGGGACACAGAATTGTTACTCAGGGACAGACACAGAATTGTTACTGAGGGACACAGAATTGTTACTGAGGGACACAGAATTGTTACTCAGGGACACAGAATTGTTACTCAGGGACAGACACAGAATTGTTACTGAGGGACACAGAATTGTTACTGAGGGACACAGAATTGCTACTCAGGGACAGACACAGAATTGTTATGAGGGACACAGAATTGTTACTCAGAATTGTTACTCAGGGACACAGAATTGTTACTCAGGGACAGACACAGAATTGTTACTGAGGGACAAAGAATTGTTACTGAGGGACACAGAATTGTTACTGAAGGACACAGAATTGTTACTCAGGGACACAGAATTGTTACTCAGGGACAGACACAGAATGTTACTGAGGGACACAGTATTGTTACTGAGGGACACAGAATTGTTACTGAGGGACACAGAATTGTTACTCAGGGACACAGATTTGTTACTCAGGGACACAGAATTGTTACTCAGGGACAGACACAGAATTGTTACTCAGGGACACAGAATCGTTACTGAGGGACACAGAATCGTTACTGAGGGACACAGAATCGTTACTGAGGGACACAGAATCGTTACTCAGGGACACAGAATTGTTACTCACGGACACAGAATTGTTACTCAGGGACACAGAATTGTTACTGAGGGACACAGAAATACTGAGGGACACAGAATTGTTACTCAGGGATACTCAGGGACACAGAATCGTTGAATTAAAGAGTATGTCAGACAACACGCAGAGGAGTGGCAGAGAGGCAATGTTTCAGGAGCGAGCAGACGTGGCAGCAGAGGAAGGGGTCGAGGCAGCACTAGTCGCAGCCAGAGGCCAGTGCTCCCCGGTGTCATCCAGCGGTCGTGTCTCCACCGACAACCCTGCCGTCATCGATTGGTTTTGACTCGGTCGTCTTCCTCTTCCCAGGTCACCTCTGACACCTACAGCCAACGGTCGGTGGGTACGTCAGACACAACCGTTAGTTGGCATGGCCCGGGAGCAAGCCCACTGAAATCACGTGTCCTCTACCTGCCCCTGTCCTTTGGTGTTCCCTCACCAAGCAAAGTATCGCATGCTGTGGGCTCAGCCCCACTGTACAGTGAGGAAGAGCTAACAGAGGGTGGTCAGGAACGGGGGGAGACATCCGCCTCTTCAGCAGCCAGGCGAAGAAGTACTGGCGAGGAGAGTGGCTCGGTAGCCGGTCTAGAGACAGGTCTGTCTCCTGACCCACACGCAGCCGAGGGGGCAGTAGTGAGGCGGAGACCCTAATTGATGATGATGAGGCTGATCGCATTTGGAAGCCTCGTCGTCATCAGGCTATTGCTTCCCGCATCATCAGGAGAAGAGGGTGGCAGCTTGGCAGCGAGCAAAACAGTCTGTGGGTTGCCCAGGAGGCAGCAGGGTCGCAGCAGTGTCAGTGGAGGCAAACGGCCACGGAGTAGAGCACCAGCTCCACTGCAGCCTACCACCACGGCCAGTAGTGGTTGTGCACGGAGGAAGTAGCAGTCAGCCAGTGAGGAGTAGCGGGGGCAAAGTTTCCTACTCGGCGGTGTGGCAATTTTTTCATCAAGCCGCCCGAGGAAGTAAACGTAGCCGTATGTCGACTATGTGGCCAGGGAAAGTCAAGCGTGGCCAGGGGGCCCATGTTGGGACTACAGCGTTGCGTCAGCATATGCAGCGTCGCCATTCGGTGGCCTGGGAAAAACCGTGATAAAGATACGGCGGTTCTGCCTGCCCCAGCCCCCGCTCCATCACCCGCTCCGTTACTTGCTCCGTCACCCAACGTCAATCGCCCTCTATCAGCCAGTCAAGGCTCCAACACCTGCTGAGGGGAGTTGTCGCTCGTGGCATCTTCCGCTCGTTCAGATGCTCCTTCTCCTGCTACTCCTCTTCACTGATTCCGTCAGCAGTCTTTCTTGGAATCCGTTTCCAAGAGACAACAGTTTGCGAGCACGCACCCGACGGTGCAAAAGCTGAACGTCCTCCTGTCCAAGTTGCTGGTGCTGCAGTCCCTCCCTTTCCAGTGGGTGGACTCAGCACCTTTCCGAGAAATGATGGCTTGTGCCGCACCGCGGTGGAGAGTGCCAAGCCGCATTTCTTCGCCAAAAAGGCAGTGCCAGCCCTGCATCACATGTAGAAGAGATGGTGGGCCAGTCTTTGAGCATGTCGGTCTCTGCCAAAGTGCACGGCAGCGCCGACGTGTGGAGCTGTAAACTACGGTCAGGGACAGTACATGTCATTTTACGGCCCACTGGGTGAACGTGGTGCCGGCACAGCCGCACCAGCAACTATTGACAGGTCACGCCGCTTTTGCCTCCACGTTTGCACGTCCTTGGTCCATGATCACCACCTCTTCTTCCGCCGTGTCCTCAGCCGCCACCCCCGTGCCAAGTCCCATGACCCGACCGGCATATCACATGTGCAGGGTGCAACGGTGTCACGCTGTGCTGCACCTGGTATGCCTTGGCGAACGTAGTCACACAGGGGAGGAACTTCTGAGTGTAATGAACAGAGAAATCGACAGATGGCTGTCTCCGCGCAAACTGAAAATCGGAACCATGTTGACCGACAACGGAAAGAACATGGTGTTGCTCTGCGTCAAGGTAAAGGTTGTGCCATGCGCCATGCATGGCTCACGTGTTCAATCTGGTTGTCAAGCAGTTTCCTAAAATACACACGTTCCCACTGAAAGACATCCTTAAAATGTCACGTAAACTTTGCATGCATTTCAGCCATTCCTACACCGCAAAGCACCCTCCTTGAGCTGCAGCGGCAGAACGGAATTCCACAGCATCGCCTGATCTGCGAACGTTGCAACAAGGTGGAATTCAAACCCTACATATGTTAGACCGCCTTTACGAACAGCGAAAGGCCATCACCGATTTCCTGATGTTACAAGCGGATAAAGGTACTTGTAACTTAGATGTCAGCCATTGTGCAGCTCATGCGTGACACCTGCCGCTTGCTCAGGCCCTTGAGGAGGCCACGCTATTCGTGAGTCGGCAGGACTATGGGATGAACGACGTCATTCCTCTGTTTCCTGGAACAAATGCAAAGTTTAACAATGGCTGGTCAGGGTGCGGTAGACGTGGCGCACAGATCTCAACGCCACATGACCCCTGTGGGGGCAGGACAGGAAGAAGAGGAGGAGGTAGAGGAGGACATTGGTGCTCAGAAAATTATTGAGTGAAATGGGTGGTTTTTTTCAGCGGACAGGAGTGGAGGAGCAGGAGCATCTGGTAGAGGAGGAGGAGGAGACAGACAGAGACCCAGACGCACCGTGGCAGTATGCTGTGGAGATGGAGGCAGGGAGTCCCTCGCCCTTGGCACAAATGGCCCATAGCATGCTCGGTTGCTTGCGTAGCGACAGCCGAATAATAACCATCAGACAGAGGGATGACTTTTTGGCTGTCCACCTTGTTGGACCCTCGCTACCGTTCAAAAAATGGTGGCCTTTTTCACACACCTGCTGAGAGGGAGGCCAAAATAACGTACTATAAAAACCACCTATGTAGTCAGTTGGTCTCTGCCTTTCTGCGCCAACGTCCATCCTCAGACACTGTGGGCCCTGTGCGCTCGCGTTCCGCTGCCATGGCAGCAGGGGAGGGGTGGGGTGGTAGGAGCAGTGGCAGCTCCACCAGCAGCGGCTACCTCAGTCTGCAGTCGATGATGAGTAGCTTTCTTCACCAGCGCAGTGAGGAAACTACTAACCAGCCGCAGCAGCACAGCAGCAAGCATCAGGTGGACCCTGGAGCAGGACCTCAAACAACAGGCTCG